CCCGCTTATGCTAATGAAGCCCGGGAAATTCAAATCCCGGGCTTCATTAGCAAGTGCGGTATGCATACATTACCCTCCTAGTTCGAACTAGCGGGGTAGTGTAGACATACCCTTAGATTATGAAGATCCTGATTTTTTTTCAGATCCTGATTCTGTTCGTGCATTTTAAAAATCTGTGGGTTCCATCTTGCAGGTGCCTTTTATAGCAGGGATTGGGAACCTCAGGACTGTGGGCAGGATGTGGCCCTCAGCTTGCCTGGATCTGGCCTCTGAGGCTCAGGGCTCCCCTCTCTCCTGCATTGGGGAACTCACACTGGTGCTCCAGCCCCCCAGCTGCCCCATGGCAGGGCTGGAGCACACAAAATCTACTAGCTTGGGCCCCACTGGGCTCTGGTATGGGAGGGGAATATGGGGAGTGTATTTCTCCTTCTCAGTCAGGGGCTACGTCAGTGAGGGGTGTTTTTTTTAATTTGTTTTGTTTTGTTTTTTTGCTTCTCACTTATGTGTGACCCCCGAATGATTTTCTGTGGGTCATTGGCTCAAAAAGGTTCCATGCCCCTGTTTTATAGCATTTACTACCAGGTGTGGGAGTGTAGCCAGATAGACAGACATCACATAAGCGCTATAAAAGAGCCCCGGTATTTGTGGCTGCTACGTTGGAGAAAGAATTGAGGTCCTTTTGATCATTAGAGTGTGGTCTAAAGATCCCATCTGCTTGTATATTTGGGGTGTGCCATGGACAGGGGCCAGCCATGCCTCTAGCACTGTCCACAAGATTAGAGCTTCCTTCAGGGACTCCCTGCTGGCTCCCAGTCTCGAGCAGCTCTCACCTGCCCAATTCCTGACTGAACCCTGGACTGTCTCAGTTTCACCCCCCATTTATATGTCCCGGGTGATTGGAGGTCAGCTGACAGTCACAGGTGCACTGAGCTCTTCCTTCTTAAAAGGCCAGCATCGCCCTGTGGGAGGTGCCACAGCCAGACCCCCTCCACAGAGAAGGCTTTGTCCCCAGTTCTCACATGCCCTATCTGGTGCTTTCTGACCTGCCTATTGAATGTGGATCCATGCAGGAAGAGAAAGCAGGGAGGCGTGTCAGGTACCAGCTCCTGCTCTCCAAAGGCCCCTCTCTGTAGGGTCCCACAGGACTCTGTACTATCCCCTCTTCTTTTTAATATTCCTGTGGCACCACTGGAAAGAGAGTGAGATGCCCTCGACTTAGCTGCCTACAATAACCTGGGGACACTCCTCTGTAGACCTCCTTCTGATATATGGTTGTGACAATTTTCTTCCACTGTTTGATCTGAGGAAGTGGGTCTGGCCCATGAAAGCTCATCATCTAATAAACCATCTTGTTAGTCTTTAAAGTGCTACATAGTCCTGTATTTTGTTTCAGCAAGACTGAAGTGACACTGATCGGAAAGGAGAAATGCCTGGAAAAGCTGGCCCTGGCTTGCCTCTCCCTTCCGTGAAGGTGTATAGCTACAACAGAGCAGTGCAAAAGCCTCAGGTTCCTGTCTGACTCCCGGCTAAGCTGGTAGCATCCGTTTCCAAAAGTGCCTTTTGTCTCCGGCCTGCTAGGAAACATCGTCCCTTCTTCCCAGAGGAGGAGCAGGCAACAGGCATCTGTCACCTCCAGGATGGATTCCTGTCATTTATTGTACACATGAAGACAATGCAGGAGCTATGACAGAACGTAGCTGTTTGCCTTCTCCAGGGCTAAGGCTGCCTTGAGCAGACCTGGTCGGTGCTCCTGCCCCTCCACAGCACGGCGACCTTCAAGGCCTCGGTCCTGATCTTCAAACCAGTCAATGGACCCAGCCACATCAGACACTGAATTTCCAGCTGTGAACTCTCATGACAGAGGTGCCCCTCTGGCACAAGGCAGGTCAGAAAGCACCAGATAGGGCATGTGAGAACTGGGGACAAAGCCTTCTCTGTGGAGGGGGTCTGGCTGTGGCACCTCCCACAGGGCGATGCTGGCCTTTTAAGAAGGAAGAGCTCAGTGCACCTGTGACTGTCAGCTGACCTCCAATCACCCGGGACATATAAATGGGGGGTGAAACTGAGACAGTCCAGGGTTCAGTCAGGAATTGGGCAGGTGAGAGCTGCTCGAGACTGGGAGCCAGCAGGGAGTCCCTGAAGGAAGCTCTAATTGGTTCCTCAGAGAAGGCTGAAGAGTAGCAAGAATAGTTTGCTTGCTGACATCCCCCAGCCAGAAAGCCAGGGCCAGCGGACAGAAGGCCAGAAGGAGTTTCTTGCTGACTTCTTGCTGAAGCTGTGGGCCAGAGAGGGCTGAAGGCAGCTCTCATAGATGTGACAATTCCCTACAACATTGGGAGAGGTGGCTGCATTATGTTTATGTATCTGTGAGGGCCAGTGATTGTGTGTCATTACATGGAAGCTGATCACAGCTTTCAGGAACTATGAACAGTGGGGACTGATCAGGCAAAGTCATTCCAGTTGTAACACCTCCAGAGAGGTACCACCTCCCAAGAGAGGCTCCCCTAGACTGATTCCAGTTGAGGCCCACAGACAAAGACAGGACTTTGCCTGAGTTTAAATTGACTTGAGGGCATCTTTATGATCCAGAAAATGGGCAGGGCCACTGTCCACGAGCACCTCAGTCCTTAGGGAAGGGTTGGAAGAGTTGACATTTGCCAGAGCCTGAGGTAGGAGTCATGGTGATCTCTGGTAAGCTTCATGCAAACTTGTAGGTACTTCTATTATTCTAATGTTTTCTCTTCTGTGCTTTTACCTGAAGAATAAATGTGGTTGCTTAGAAAGGGCTGTGCAATAGCTTGTCATTGTGGGAAATTATGCTGTTTATAGCTTCTGAAGAGAGGGAGAAGCAGGCCTGCTGGGGAAGTTACAGCATAGGCAGGGAACTGGGCAGCCTGGAAAACCCCCAGTCAGGATGGAGAGGGACACAGGTCTCTGTCCAAGAGAGGTGATGGCTGGAGAGCCAGGATACTAGAGTGGGTGCCTTCAAGGGGGGAAATACATGTGTAGTTGGCCTGAACTATCATAGCAGGGGAGCCAGTCAAGGGGCTTGCTGATGCCTCCATGCTGGAGAGCAGAGGGCCTTCGGGGAATGGTGGTTGCTCCCCCTGGAAAGGAATGGTGGTTGCTCCCCCTGAAAAGGATGTGCACCCAGCAGAGAAGCTGGGAAGAGAGAGGTTGAACTCCGACCATAGGGGCTTGGAGTCCTGGAAAAAGGACAGGAAAAGACCAAAGAAGAGTCTGAGAGATGCTGGAGCATGGCATCTGGTATGTCAGTGGACTACAGGATGTGGGATTTTAAGGATTCTATCCATGGGGTGTGAGAAATGGACAATGCTAGGGACTTTTGTATGGATTATGTGTATAATTGTTGGTAATGAACAGGGTTGAGTGAGCTTCCCTCTGAAGAAGGGCAGCTGAGGGAGGTGCTTCTGTTCTGGTAGGGTCTGATGCTGGAGGGTGCTTCAGATGGGGCTGCACTGTGACAGGAACCATCTTCTAGAGCCTGCATCTTCTGGAAACATTGCAAGCCCTTCCTGTTTGAGAGAGCCATTCTACCATGATACACAAAGGTCAAACTCCCTCCTACTCCCCAACAATAAAACCCTTCCCCAGACACAGTTTTGACCCCCATAAACGGGAAAGTACCAGAAACACTACAAAGTCTACTAAAGAATTTGCTATTGGAAATTATGTTCCCTCAGGTGATCCGTGGCCGGATAAGATGCTTATGGTTTGTGCCTTTCAATATTTGATCTTCATAAGCTGATCTTCGTTCAGTTTGGCTGCGAAAGTCATGGTGTCACATTTCAGTGAAGGATGAAAAGCTTTTGTAAACAGAAGACTGCTTAAAGAGGTCACCAGAATTGAAATGATTTCAGAAAAGCCTGCACAAAACATGTCTTCACATGAGCATTCACAAGACTTTCATTTTTCCATGAAAGTTCCAGTGCACAGATACATTCATTCAGACAGATATCTGTGCAAAATGAATTTAAAAGGGTGGCAGCTACCACCAAAGTCAATTTATGTTTTGTGCTCCA